GCGTTGAAACTGACATAAGTAAGCACGCCTCAAAGACAACACATTAATTCCATGCACTCAACATAAAGTGATTACTTATTTGTAATAAATATATAAAAACAGAATATTTAATTATATTTATTTAGCCTAAATCTCACACGAAAAAATACTATAATTAAAACAACTAATCTTATAAGCAAGTAAACATGTACTAATGTTACTAGATTATTCAGGTAGGTTGTTCATAGAACTTACTTGAAAGAATATATCATAGATATATGGGACCAAAAATCACCGGTTTTCTGCACAACTCACGTGCTGCACGCCCACTTCCAAATTCATTTAAACTCTGCCCTTCTGAGATAACATTGCTTGTTTCTGGCTACTTAAATATGACACAAGCATCAGAGGCAGCACCAGATCCAAAATGACCCAGCGCAGCCGAGCACTGAATCAGACTCCAGTCGCAACAGTAACATCGCGACGATCTCGGAGGCAGAACTTTGGAAGAGGACAATTCGACACCGTGCATACTTCCCGACAAGTTATTCAATGCACACGAGACACCAAGATCTATTTCATCTATAAGAGTATCATACAATGACAGATGCCAGCTACATGGAAATTACCTTCCACTTTGCCAGCAGTCTGGACACTTCTAAATGCTATAACATATTAAAAATAAATTACCCAATACATTATACACATTTTATAATTTTGAATCTGAAGGTCCGGCCTATCAGGGACATAAATATTATCTTGCCACTGGCATTACACTGTTCTCCCACCATATCTGCTTTGACTAAAACTAAGATGTAGTCGCCACACATCTGTCCGTCAACCTGCAGAGTCTAGCAGAAGTTATAAACATGTATATAAAAAAAATATAGAAAACTTAAAAATTAAACTTACAGTACGCATAACTGAGCTTCATCGTGACAACTTTGCTTACTGCAACAGTGTACGAGAAGGACGATATTGATTTACCTCGCAAAAACGCCTCAAATAAATGCAATCCGCGTGTACTACAATAGTAGACCTGCTACTATGTGGACATAAATAGAACCCTATAAATATTTCCCCTTTGTTCCCAATTGACAAATTACCGATGAAACAGACGATTGATTCTTTATACAGAAATAATTGCCGACAACAACACTCTTACTGTCTACAGACAGTACGGGTGGCAGAACTGGTACACCAGCCTCTGCGATCTTTCTGTCTTCTTCATGATACCCTTCTTGTAGTACTGGCGAATAGATCGAGACAGTTTGTCATAATTCATGGCTGGCCTGTTCTTGCGTTTGCCCCACAATCGTGCCACACGGACGGAGTCCTCTATCTTGAAGACGCCCTTGCCGCGGTCCAGCCAGCGGATGCAGGAGCCATGGAGCTGAGGTGAGGCCAGTAGCTCCTTGAGGAACTGCCACAGGTGTATGTGC